CACCTAGCGGCGGGAAAAAGTTAGTGTTAGCACTGTTACACTGGGTTTACACTACCGACTTTATGTTGGCGAATTGGCGTGTTGGACCAACATAGATCGTGTTCTGATATCCCAACTAGTTGCTATCGACCAGTTGCTCGCGCGACTTTCGCGTTTACACTGCCGATTGTCGGTTGTATAGTTGGGAAGTTGGTCCAGTTCGCTTCAATGGCCAATAAATTTCTAATTTAACCCCAACTTACCCCTGACAGCTAAAATATCAAACACAATTATTTATTTCTTACATATGAACTACGATGGTTTATAAATACATACAGTTAATACTTTTTAATTCACTCGTAACATACACAAACTTACAGAACTCTCAGAATCAGCTGCTGCCGGTGCTGGTACCGATTCTGCTGCTGCTGCTGCTGCTGTACGGGCCGATCGCTTCACAGCGGGTCTTGGCTGGGTCACGCAAGGCTTTCGTGGCTTTGCAGTGGAAGAGGACTTTCTCTCCTTCGCTGACAACTTACCGTGAATCATTGCCATCACGGCCGACAGCTGAGTCTTTGGAGGAACCTGGACAATACACAAGAACATGATGCTCTCCTAAATATGTTACCCTTGCTCTCGTTGTCTCTCTCTCCCTTCCCCTTAAAAATATATGTACGTGTTACAAACTATTGGCAGGGTTTCAGAAACCTCCATCACTCTATTTTTACGATTATTACATGAAGTAACCGTCTGCGACCGGCTAGTTTTATTCCTCTGGATAGGCCTGTAACAGAGCAACGAGGTATATATTATAGTAACTATGATATGCACATATGCCCTTCGCTCTGCCACGTTTTCATGCACATTTGGGTTCAGTCGCGAAACTTCTGGTACACATGCATGTACGCAAACCGCGAGAGTTTCCATCTTACTCCTCTAGTTTCCCGAATAGTGTCACTAGTAGACACACTGGTCAGTAGCAGAGTTAAAGCGTCTATTGCGAGAATTTTCCAGTGTTTTCCCCACTTTCATGATACCTACCGTTATTGCTTGAGTAACAGCAATTGTCTAGAGTAACGATAAAATGTCTTAAGCCCGGCGCACACGTGGCGATTTTTATCGACAGTACCGTCGATTTTTATCGCCGGTAC